GCAGGTCGGGGCTGCGGTGGCCGGGACCAGCCACTGCACTCTAGCCTGGGCGACAGAGTGAGACTCCAACTCAAAAAAACAAAAACCCAAAATATTAGCTGGGCATGGTGGCATGTGCTCCTGGTACCAGCTACTCAGGAGGCTAAAGGCGGAAAGATCACCTGAGCCCAGGAGTTGGAGGCTGGGGTGAGCCTTGAGCACGCCACTGCCCTCCAGCCTGGATGACAGAGTCAGACCCTCAACTCAAAGAAAAACAAAATCTTACCTTGTCCAGAAAGAATATGAAAAGCAGTCTGGACACAGTGAAGACTTTCTTGATAGCTCAGGTCCTTTAAAAAAAAAGAGAGAGAGAGAGATAAAGAATGATAATTACCATTTATATCTTTAAAATAGACCCAGTGTTAGATAGATTAGTAGGGTGACTGCCATTTGCAAGAAATTACTGCATATTTCAAAAAAGCTAGAAGAGAAGAATTCAAATGGTTCTTACATGAAGAAAAGACACGTATGCAAGGTGATAGTTATCTCAAGTACTCTGATTTGATCTTTAGAAATTATATGAATGCATTAAATTATCACATACACACCAAAGCTATGTATGTCTATCATGCATTCCAAAAAAAACTGGTCAGGTAATCCTCCTGCTTAAAACTCTCCAAAGGTTGAAAGTGTTCTACATCTTGATTATGGTGGTGACCATATAACCATAGGTCTTTGTCAAAATTCATAAAATTATACACCCAAAAGGAGATGAATTTTACTATGTATAAGTTACACCTTGATAAAAATGGCAAAATTTTAAGAAAAACAAATGGTAATTTCCATTTATATCTTTAAAAAAGTAATTAATTGTTACTTACACCAGATTCAATGAGATTATGAAGAACTAATAACAAATCATCAAAAAACTCGATATTTATAAGGTGGGCAAACCTAGAATCAAAGAAAACTTAGTTAATGGATAACATAAAAGCAGAAATAAAGCAAGAATTTTAAGCTTGGCTTTAACTGTATTTTTAATATTCCTCATTTCAAAATGTTAGTTATGATGGACACATAGTGGCAATTACTGATACCTTCCATGAATTCAGATTGGACTTTTCAACAATTCACACTGAAACTGAGCACTATACTCAGTAGGAACATATGAGGCACAAAAAGACTCAAAATATTTCAAAAATATTTCTGCCTTGAGAAAGAAGTCACTGGGAGCAAACAACTGCCCTGAGGAATGTTTACTAGGTGCCCAGCACTACCAAGTCAGAAAGAAGCCAACAGCACCAGGCTCGAAGGAAATAGGTGGCAGGAATAGAGAAAGGAAAAGACTGAGATACATATGAGAATATGGACCCTATGACAGCTTTGCGGATAAAATGGAAAGAATACTGGACTTGGTATGCAGTTCACTCTCTGATATTTATTACCCATGAGATCCTAGGTAAGTCAGTGGACTGTCCTAGACCTCTATTTCTAGAAATGACTGAGATCACTCAGCAGAAAAAGAATCATATGAGCTACTAAATGTGAGTATGCTGTATATCAGGGGTCCCCAACCCCTGGCCACGGACCAGCACTGGTCCATGGCCTGTTAGAAACCAGGCCACACAGCAGGAGGTAAGCAGCGAGTGAGCAAGCAAAGCTTTATCTGTATGTACAGCCACTGCTCACTGCTTGTATTACTGCCTGAGCTCCGCCTCCTATCAGATCAGCAGCAGCATTAGATTCTCAAAAGAGCACAAACCCTGTTGTGAACTGTGCATGGGATCTAGGTTGCGCACTCTTTATGAGAATCTGATGCCTGATGATCTGAGTTAGAGTTGAGGCAGTGATGCTAATGCTGCCTCCCATCATCACCAGATGACACCATCTAGTTGCTTGAAAACAAGCTCAGAACTCCCACTGATTCTGCATTATGGTGAGTTGTATAATTATTTCATTATATATTACAATGCAATAACAATAAAAATAAAGTGCACAAGAAACATAATGAGCCTGAATCGTCCCAAAACCATCCCCCTCAACCCCCAGTCCATATAAAAGCTGTCTTCCACGAAACCGGTCCCTGATGCCCAAAAGGTTGGGACCACTGCTGAACAGTATACTCTATTGCGCAAAGAAGCACGCTGAAGCTAGGATGCCTCATCAAGATTAGTGAAGAGTCTTTAACTCTATGTATATCTTAGAAGAAGAAAAGATCTTAGAAGTAACATATTCCGCCGGGCTCAGTGGCTCAGCCTGTAATCCTGCGCCTTTGGGAGGCTGAGGTGAGTGGATTGCCTGAGCCCGCGGGTTTGAGACCTGCCTGGCAGCAAGACCTCATC